GAGTCGATCATCAGATATTGTCCAAGATTAACCTTCAGGGTGGATATAGCTCGCTAGCAGCCTTGCACCGAGGACCTATCCACGTCATCATTTACCCAGAATGCTTTGTGTGTAAATAAAATGGACTGGTCCGTGTAATATATTTTTAAACTTTTAGATAAAAAATGATAAAAAATGAACATCATTCAGTATTTTTACAGTCTTTATTTTACAGTTAAAATATATGTTTATTAAATAAAGTCTAATGTTACAACTAATCATGGATCCATTTAAGGTTCACAGTGAAAATTTTGTCAGAATTAAACTATTTCTCCAGACTGAAGTGGTTCAAGAGCTATCTACCACAGGTAAGATATTAATTGCTCCTAACCCAGCCGCAGCACCCCGGCTCAGAGGATCTGAATGAAAACGAGGGTTTCTAGTCGTAGAGTCAAATGTTGCGATAATTTGAAAGAACCCATTAATTCAACGTGGCTCAGATATTTTAAAAGTTCTAAAATCCTTTCAATTAAAAAAATATTCAGTCAAACTGAAAACCAACCAAATCTCTGGAAGTGCTTTCTTTCAGGTTTTAATACACATCAAGGACCAGAAACAGCAGCTAATCATGTACATCTGGAAGCTTTGCAGCGTTTCCTCTTATTTCCCTACAAATGAGGGTGAAATCAAAGAGCTGTTTAAACGAACGGGTTATATGTGTGTGATGTTTATTTTAGCTGTTGCGGTGCAGATGTGGATATTTTCACGGTTCTTATGCGAAGCTACTGGAGCTCAGACACTGAAACTTCTCCCTCAGAGACTGGACGATGTTGGGCTGGTTCTGCGGCGGCTCGCTCCACAGGTACTTTTCCAGATGCTCGTGGTCCAGAGAGGACCTCAGAGGGTCGTAGGAGCGGGCCGGGGTGCACGGCAGACTCCGCGACTGGACTAGAGCTCGGTTCGGATTGGCGGGCGCCGCCGAGCTGCCGTTCCGTTGCCCCGCCCCGCTCCGTTCCACTTCCCTCTCGTCCTCCGAGCGGATCTCCACGTAGTCGTCGTCGTCCTCCTCGTTGTCCTTGAAGTTGGCCCGGTAGTTCTGGGCGGCGCTAAGGACGCTCTGAGCCGAGGCTCGGGTCAGGACCACCACCTGCTGGCCGTCGTGTAACGTCAGGGCCGTCTGTCCCGGGGGGCAGCGCTCTGGAAGGCTGCTCTGCCGACCGGCTCGACCCAGACCGGGGCCGTGCGGCCTGTCGGGGTTCCGTCCCACAGCGGGTTCTTTGCATCTGTCCCCGGACTGGTGGTGGTCCTCCTGCTGGGGGGTGCTCAAAGAACCGGCGGACTGACACCGACCCGACGGGGACGACGGGGCGTTGAAGGAAGGGTGTCTCTTAATGGTGCTGTAAACGTGGTCGTCCTCGTCGTCCGGCGCTGAAACGCACGAGCTCCACCTCTGCGGCGCCAGAGCGGCGGGGGAGGGCGGGGTGGTCTTCAGGGAAGGGGCGGAGCAGGTATGGGCGAGTCTGTGCTGAGAGCCGGAGGCGGTTTGGGCCTCGCCGGACGGGGACACGAAGCTCGCCAGCTCCCCGTTGCTGTAGGTGGACAGGAGCCAGTCCTCCTCCAGGGAGGTCTCTGGCATCGAGGAGGAGGACGGCAGCCCCGGGTGGGTGTGGTGTTGGGGGGCGGGGGTCCGACCAGCAGAACCGGGGGAGTCTTTAAACACCACCTGGTCGTAGAGCTGAGAGTATTCAGCTATCCTCGCACCTGAGGAGGCCAAACACAAGATGTTTGTTGGAACTTTTTAGTCTCAATACAATATTTTCACTACAACTGAGAAGGAGGAAGGTTTTTCACAATACCTATAGCCGGACCTCCTTGTTTCTTCTCCTCCAAGATGGCGGCGAGGTCTTTCTGTTTCTTCTCTGCTCTGCTCCGGCCGCACGAGTCTCCGGGGTCCATGCTCCTCATGCGCAGCAGCTGGTTGGCCTTCTTGATCTTCTGGCTGTACTGCCGTGCCATCAAGAACACGCGGCTCTTGGTTTTGTCCATCAGCTCCAGGGGGAAGTCCACGGACTCGCCCAGCAGGAGGGAGGAGGTCGCCAGCGGGGAGTCCAGTCCTGCCAGCTCCCCAGGAAACAAACCGTGGAGGTCTTTGAGGGCGCCGTCCCTCTGGGACACGGGCCTCTGGGGAAGCTCCACCAGGTCGTCGTCATCGAGCCGGAAGCTGCCGCTGCTGAGTCGGGTCAGTCGGTTCTGGATGCTCTTCACCTTGCCTGGGTGGGGCTCGGGGGGGACAGGAAGGGGCCGGGATGCGGGAGACGGGCTGTGGTGTTCCTCTTCAGCGGGGCTTTCACTCCGAAGATCCGGAAGGTTGAGAGCCGGGATGGTGAATGAGGGCGTGGAGGTGACGAGTGGACGTGTGGGCTGATGTGACGCAGGGCCGCTGGTTTGAGAACCAACCACAGGAGAACTCTTCGTAGGGCTGTTTTTAACAACTGAGACCTTCGTAGGCGACTCTTTAGCGCTCACAGGGAACGCGGCAGGAAGGCGATCGGCTTTCTTCTCGTTGTTCTTGATGTAGTTCTCAAAGTCGGTCCAAATRTCGTCGCTGTTCTCCGACATTTTATCTCTTTTCCGAAAAGAGGTTTCAGCCGTCGAGGAGGAGGAAGAGGAGTAATCCGGTTCAGAGGACTGTGGGACACAACGGGAAGCCTCTGGTCCTTCATGCTTTCTAACGTTGACGCTCTCCTCTGAAACGAAGCCTCTGGAACCGTCCGACAGCTCTGAGCTCAGTGCACTGTCCCGCTCTCGTCTCCGTTCAGCGCCTTCACTCACGCCCCTGGACGGTGGCTCCGTGAAAGAGATGGTGTCGTAGATATTTTCCTCTTCGATCTGGAGCTCGTAGTTCCCGCACGGCTTCACCTCCTGCGTGGAGGAGCGGTTGCTCTCTGATGAACTGTCCGCTTCGATGGGTGACTCTCTGACGTCTGCCTGGAAGCCTCGAGCGTTAGAAGACGTCTCTTTCTGCACCTGGTTTTCCTCGGGGTCCCTCCGGATGAAACCCATGCTTCTCAGGTCCTCATAGCTGATATTATCATAAACGTTTTCAAGGTCGTCTAAGGTCAGCTGCTCAGCTGAGGAGGATCCAGATATTTCGTTGCTGGACGATTCGGAGTGGATCACTTCTAAATTGCAGCGTCGTGCTGGATCGTCGCCGGGGCTTCCTTGAGCTTCTGTGGCCGTCTCTCCCGCGCTGCTCGCCCTGCGCAGGACTCTGCTGCCGTCGGGCGGAGGCTCCACCTGCACCGTGGGCACCTGCTCCACGTGCCAGCTGCAGGGTCGGGCCGTTCTGGGCGAGGGGGCGGTCTCTGTCCTCTCGGAGGACGCCTCCGGCTCCGGTGCGCTGGGCTCTGTGGGGACAAACATTTGGTAGATGTCCTCGTCCTCGTCCTCGGGCTGCATGGTCCTCTGGCGGGTGGGGAACATGGCCCTGCGAGCCCGATGGTCCGCCCAAATGTTCTGCACCGAACGGTCCGCTTCTGTGACGATCACGGAGGGGACGGGGGACTCCGGAGGTTCCTCCGTCACGTGAGGGGTCCTGAGGAGCGGCGGGTGGTGGCTTCCTTCCCTCACTAACGATTCTCTGGCTCTCTGAGATAAAAGACAGCAGAAATAATAATGAAACAATAAAGAAACTGAATGACATCACATAAAGACGAGGATATCACACCTGCAAGTCTGAGGGGCTCATGTTGAAAGCTTTCCACTGTTCGATGCTGTCAACTGATGCTTGAGGATTCAGCCTCTTCCTGCTGCTTTTGCCAGGAACTCGTAGCCTCTTTCCACTTCCCTGAACAAAGAATGTTAACATTAATGTCTCCTCAGGACCAGGGTTGTTTTCGTTAATGATGACAAAATATTTTCGTTGACGCCCCCTTTTTTTCTAGCCTGGTTTAAACCAGACCCTGTCCTTCACTTTTCTTTGTACAAGGGTCTGGACTTGATGCATAGAGAATCGATTTCTTGCAGGAGGCGTGGCCTCTGCTGAAGTTTAAAATGATTGGATCAGTTGGCTGCGACGTACGTCGCTGTGACGGAGGCTAAGCTAAGAAGCTAACCAGAAATCACGTGTGCTGTAAACAACCCTACTGAGAGGAAAAAAGTACCGAGCCGAACGAGACGACTGTAAATGAGAGCTGCTGCTTTGTCAGACAAATTTATTTTAATTTGGAAGCCTTATCAACACAGACTGGCTTCATTCTCTTCCTCCACTGCCGTATGCTAAAATAACTAGCAGACACTGCGCAGAAAGTCAACGTCGTTCAAAGCTCCTCCTTCTGTTTGCTGATTGGCCCAGGTAAAATAAACTACAGACACTGCGCAGAAAATCAACGTTCTGTTCTCTGATTGGTTCGGCTAAAAATCTGCCAGTGAAATCCTTGTCAATGGGAGAAATCCCAGACGGAGCAGTGAAGGGAAACTAGAATTGAGCGGAGCTGTGTAGGAAGGCAAGGGCCAGGCTAGCTTTTTTCATGACGATAATGAGACAGTAACGATAACTCTTTGATGACTAAGACGCGACGAAACGTGTGATTTTTCGTTGACGAGATGAGACTGGACGAAAATGTTAGTCGGTGGTCTGTCAATCATTTAGAATGCAGAGTGGAGGGAGGGACAGCAGTGTTGTTACACAGAGCAGCACACAACATTTCCTCCCCTCATTCAGTAAAGAAGGAAAACAAACAGCCTGCGCCGCTTCGCAAAAAAAAGTCCGTCCGTCACCTTTAGCTTAACCAGGGAGTAACGTCTCCACCATTAAAAGCTGTCGCAGGTCCATTCTGAGCTCAGAAGATGTTTGTTTACGTTCATGATGAAAGTAAAACTCTTTTCTGTGTTTTTTTATTTTTTATTTTTTGGCCGGGGGGAGTTAGCAACTGCGCATGTCAGTGCTTCTGTTCTGAATAAAAGCCTGGTGCATGTAAACACTCGTTTGCACAAGTTTAATAGTCTTCTAACTAAGTTTAGGACTGCATTGGGGTGCAACGATACAGGAAATTCATGGTTCGGTTCGTTACTTTAGTCTCACGGTTCGATATTTTTTCGATACAAAAGTGAAATTTCCATGCCCCTTTTTAACTTGTAATTTATTTATATTAATTATGAACATTTGTTTAACCTCAAAAGTACAGTTTTTAAATTAAATGTTGCTGAAACAGCAATTTCTCAGTGGATCTGTGCTCAAAAATGCAGCCTAGGTGGAGTAGTCGAACACAGATCCACTGATCCTTCAACACAGAGCATCTTCAGAAGACAAGTTGATAAAATAAAATTTTAAAATCTGTATTGTTCGATACGGGCACATGTATTGTTGCACCCCTATGCATGACGTCCGTTTTTATAAATAAGATGCATCTTCATCGTCCTGGCTGTTAAGTTTGAGTTGAACATGTGTGTTCCCCTTTATTGCTTAAAATATTGGGCGTGTGTATTTTGTCTGTTCGTTGCACTTTAGCAAATTCTCAGAAATAAAGCCACAAAGTGAGAATGTTTTTGT